TGAGTTATAAACAAGTAGACGAATATTTAATGTAAGATATTCTGAATTTGAGACAAAGCAAAGATTGAGCTAGCAATTTTATTCGAGATATGTTCAATTTGAAAATCCCAGTTTAAAAATTCGTCAAGTTTAAGTCCAACAAATTTGAAATATTTGTTCACACAGTCATTACCAATCCTTTCAAGTATCTCGACCTATTTATATATTACAATTGTTGGGGTCAAAGTGCATATTTCTATTTCTAAATACTATATACTTTGTTTTGGAGACATTTAGTGACAAACGATTTGCTTGAAACCATTTTGCTGCTTTTTTTAGTTCAGTGTTTGCATCAAGTATTAGGCTTGCAATGTCAGGAGATGACTTTGAGAAAGTAGTATCATCTGCAAAGAGGCTGGTAAAAAAAGATGTTGCTACGGGCAAATCGTTTATATAAAGCAGAAACAGCAGGGGCCCTAGAACACTTGCTTGAGGAACACCACATGTTATAATTCTTTCTGTTGAAAAAGCTCCATTTATACATACATATTGAGTTCTATTAACAAGATAATTTTTAAACCAGGTGTTGGCCACATTTTTGAAACCAAAATGATTTAGTGTTTTTAAAAATATGTCTAAATCATAGCAATCAAAAGCTTTCTTTAAGTCTAGGAATATTCCAAGAGTAAATTCTGGTTTAGATTTATTAAGGTTTTCATAGATTTTATTCATTAAGTGCAAAAGTGGTTGATTTGGGTTATGCTTAGGTCTAAATCCATATTGGTGCTCGTAAAAGATGTTAAACTTATTAAGATATCTGAACATTTGTATTGCAGCAATTTTTTCAAGTAGCTTACTCAAAGCTGGAAAAATACTTATAGATCTGTAATTATTAAACTTATCTTTTTCGTCCGCTTTAAAGATCCGGGAATAATTTTTGCACATTTATACTCGCTAGGGATGCATCCTGTTTTAAAAGAAAGATTAAATAAATATGCTATAGGATAATCGATACAATCAATAATTTCCTTCAGTAGTTTGGTAGAAATATTGTCTTTTCCTGAGCTGTTCTTGGGTTTTAGCTTACTTACTGTTTCTAAAATAATTTCCGGTGTAATATTTGCAAAAACAAAATTTTCATTTATGGACTCATTTAAATATGTTTCAAAAGTGACATTAGATTACGGAATGTAACTAGACAGCCTAGGTCCCACGTTGACAAAAAAAATCATTAAAACCTTCTGCAATTTCACTAGATCCTACAAAAGTTTGATTGTTATCAGTAAAAATATAAGTAACTGAATGACTTTTTTTCTTAGAGGAAATTATAGAATTAAGTAAGGTCCAGGTTTTTTTTATATCTTTTGAATATTCTTGAAACTTTGAGTAAAAATAACTGGCTTTGGCCTTTTTTTTATCAAAGAACGATAAACAATGTTGTATTTTCTGAAAGCAGATATATTTATATAAAGTGTTTTTGTTTATGTAAATAAAATAATATCGTTTTTTTACGAAGGGAAAACTATTTAAAATCGTTCAAATAAACATAAAAAAGAGATAGTATTTTTACTGAACAAACGATTTGTTTAACACATTTTGAAAAACTATCGTTTTTTACTGAACAAATAATTTTATTGGACGAGCGATTTTACTGAACGATGAGAAAACAAAACGATAGATGGAAAATGACAATAATTTTTAAAAACAAATGAAATGGTGTTTTTGAACGCTTGAAAAAAAATAAAAAATGGCCGGGTCGTTCCCGAACGATGAATTAACGATAAGAAAAAAGTCAAACGGTGCTCTCTATCTAAAGGCAACAAAGATACACAAATACAGTGCAATGACAGTCTGTTTTAAATTAAAGGCATATGAAAATATGCACAAAGAATACAGTATATGGTAAAAATGTCAACAATAGTGTAACGTAACGTAAAATGTACGTTTTTGTACGTTACGTTACAATAATGTGTAATGTTTGGATATATTTTATATAACGTGAACGTTAAATGTTCACATTATTGGAGGTCATACCTAACGTTAACGTTAGAGGAATATACCCCCAACGTTAGCGTTTTGTTGTAATGTAACGTTATTTTTCTAATATCTACAACTTGTTTGACCATAGCGTGAATAAATGTTTTGTTTCCATGGGAAGCTTGAAAGTCTAACGTTTGAAAAATTAATTGTGATTTGATTGCATATCGTAACGAATGGATTTCTATTTCAAAGTTCAACTTATAAAAAGTGTAACGTTGTATAACTAAAAAATGCATTACTGTTTATTAAAACAGTTTGAAAGTTTTTCCCTTTTAGTATAATGAAATATTCAACGTTTCAGAAATGGGTTATTATTTTAATAATCAGGAAAGTAATGTTTTTTTACAGAGTAAAATTTGAATAATGTAACTCATAACATTTGAAAAAATGTAATTTTGTAAATCAAAACGTTTCATAACTTTTCTCTGAATACTAAATTAATTAGTCTAACGTTAGATATATGTCTCATGAAAATATTGTTCATAAACGTTAGGCTATGAGGGCTGAGTTTTAATTTCAAAAGTGTAACAATAATTCTGCCAATCAAAACGTCTCTAATATGTCAATGTAAGAGATTCGACTGATGATTATGACAGCAAAGACAAATGATTTTTCATTTCAAGTTTAAAGAAAATGAGTTTATGCCACAAACTCTAATTTTCATTTACTATATCTTTGCAACCCGATGTCACATACCATTAAAATTGAAATATAAAAGGTTTAAACCATCAGGTTGGAAATATTTAGGGATTAATATATTTGAAAAAAAACTTAGTTCCTTTCTAAACAATAAACGAGTTTTTTCGTAACATGCTATTAGTGAAAATTCAAATCTTATAAATGTTTCTTGGACATTAAAGGTTTTAGATTTGCTATTGTTTAATGAAACCCACAAAACTCAGGAATAGGAAGACGACATTTAAGAAATCTTACATATGTATTTTCTAGGTTATAAAGCATATGATTTACTAATAGCAAAAAACATCTTATTAAGTGGAACGGGTCTGTGAACACAACTCAAATGCTGTGTTTCATGTTTATTTGACAAATTGAAATCATAACTTCAGTTGGCATGGTTCATGTTTTAGGTTGAAAAATTTAGAAATGTAGACTAGATACTTACTAAAATGCAAAAATATTTTCTCAATTGTAAAATGCGTGTTATGTTTTATTCATCAATAGATTTTATGAAACTTTAGAACAGAATAAAAACTTTGTTAAAAGATTTGTTAAAAAAAAAGAAAAAATGCGATAAAATTTTATTTCGCGTTGTTTGTGTTAAAAAAATTAGCATTTGTCTTACTTTATTTGATACTTTTTAACCCTAACATGAATCCTGAAAACATTTTATTGTGGTTTGTAACTAAAGCTAATGCCGCTTTTTACTTAATTTGTATGCAACATAAAAAAAAAAAGAAAATAAAAATTCGCCACAAATTATAATTTTCTAATCTCTACATATTTGCAAGCTGGTGTTGTAAACTTTTGATATTTCAAACTATGAATTATGTTAGATAAAAGAAAATCCACCGGAGGGTTAGTTTGCAATGAGTAAAAAAGAGAAAAATTACCCTTAATCAATGTAAAATAATTCAGAACTATTGTTCCAAATGCAAAAGTGGTTTGCCTTGCCGAATTTTAACTCATTTTATGAAGTGTCCCAAACATGTATATTTTTTAAGCTCGTCAAGTACACGAGGATAATTTCAAGTGATCCTCCATCTAACGATGGCCATGCTCGATTCCTAATGGTTACGTGTATACCTTTATCTGATTGATGATTTGAAAACACCAGCGTTTTCCTATCTTGTAAATGTATGCTGGACATGCCACTCCATAAATGGAAGGTCACTTGAAATTACGTCTCTAGTCCCTTTAAGACACACCCTTGAGTTGAAAGTCTAAAGCTAAAAACTTTCATTCACAAATTCTAAAAACCGTTAAAAATAATAATATTATAACATCTTTGAATTGCATATTTTTCTACACATTCTCTAAAAAGGTTAACAATACAACAGCAACATACAGAGTGAGTAAAAAACAATTTTTTTGCAAGGTTCATGTTTTAGGATGAAAAATACTAAAGTGGGAATGTAATTATCACGGAAAAAATCTTGCAATGCTTTCATTTAGAAACAATATTATTATTTGATAAAGTGTAACGTAAGAAACGTTAAAGCCTGAACATTTTAATACAACGCAACGTATAGACCATATTTTCAAACCTTTCTTAGAAAAGAAAGGAATAAACAGTTTTGATTGTCAGTCGTAAAAAAGTGTAACAAAAAAGTTTTCATAATAACGTTTCGATAAATCGTAACGTAAGAAAAGTTGCATTTTAGTAATATTTCTAAACGCAATTAAAATAGTTTATACTTGAAAAGTTAAGATAAAACGTAACGTTAACAAAAAATGTTCTTTGCACTGAAATGCATTGCAACGTGCAGAACTATGCCCCAATGAGGTTTTATTAAAGCAAAACGTTTGTCACCTTTTAGTTTTCAAGCCAAGTGAAATCGTAACGTAAGGTCTCTGAAAACATTTACCTTGCATGAAAAAGGAACGTTAAAAAATTGTGGTTATATTACAAAAGCTTTAACGCAACGTTGAGAAAGTGTTTTAAAACAGGAAATGCAAAAGCGTAACGGAGCTTACTGTTTTTTCACTAACATTTACTAAAGCTTAACGTTGTATAAGGTATTCAAGTGCAGAAAATTCATTACGTAACGTTACTCCATTCCATACAATTTCATAATGTGAAACGCAACGTTTCAAATGTTATTATTTTTTAGGAACAAAACGTTGACATCTCTAGTATCTGGAAAACAGCAATCGAGAGCATCTGTTCAGATAATTTTTTTTACTGGATTCAGATGTCATTTCAAGACATTTATAGGTCTGATGTTAATCTTGCATATTATCTAAAATCTTGGGTTTGTTACTTATGCCAGTACGGAGAGATAGCTACGACAAAAAATGTATTTCTTAAAAAGTGTACTTTATTTTATTATTAATATGTGTGTGTCACTTATCACAGTATTGCTGCTGCTGCAAGCTCACAGAGTCCAGCTAAAAATTATACTTTTAGTATGTTTACGGTCAATATCAGTAAACATGTAATCCACTAATGTTATCAAAAAATCTGCAAAGTTTTGAGTTTTCCAATTATACAAAGAGAAAATGGCGAGTTGAAAATGTCGTCATTGCATAACATTTTTAGAAATCATTAAGAAAAAAGGAAATTGACTTACATTGACTGCATTTACAAGTGTTTCCAGTGCACTTTTTCATTTTCTTACATTCAGCATCTGTGTGACATTCATATCTCAACTAAACGAAGAAGAAAAGTGGGTGGAAGAAATTCTTTCTAATAAAAAAGAAACAAAAAATGATAAAACGCAATATATAATTTTACAAACCGTTGAACACTGTCCATAAATACAATAGCACGCTTCAGGTGTTTCTCTGTAACAAATTTTTTGTAATTTAGCAGCACGTGGTTTTATGAAAAAATAATTTCCACCTGCAGGAGCAGTCTTCAAAGGCGTCACATCTAACTCCACCCTTCAGAAAACCACCCCTTATTTCGCATTTTCCATGAATACAAACGTAACTTCCATCCTAAAATGTTTAATCGCCTTAAATGGGCTGACAGATGGTGACTTTAAATACAGTGAATCCCAGATATATAAATACATGGACCATTATAAGTTTTTTGATAATTCCAAAGAATCTTTTTTATTTTTAATTCAAAGTAAATTAATAGCCCTTAAATATAAATGCAATTGATATATTATTATTAAACCCATTTTTCCGCGGCACTTGATCTTAAATATGTCATACAACATTATAAAAAACTCTTGCTATGTATTCATATATCTGGGAATGGGATTCACTGTATATATAAATTTAGCTTGTCTGTCTGGGTGTTTGTTTGTATCTAATAAACGTCAAAACGGCTCCAAATTTCGCGAGGGACCTCGCGTAATCCCAGGGAAGGTTTATGAATGATCAAAATTTAAAAAATTGTTGTTTATAAAATTTCTAAAATGCGCAAAAAAAATATTATGAAATCCGCAAACTTTTTTTATACTGTAAAAAGAGAAGATGATCACCAGCCACAATTAAAAGTTAAAAAAGTAGATGGGCCCCTAAAAGTCTAGTTTAAATCCGGATGTCACAATTTTATATGAGATCCCACAGTTGCAAATTATCAAATTGTTACAGATATTTAAATAAAAAGTTATCCTAATATTTCCTCAGAGAACGGAATTTAGGTTGTTGATGAAGAAGAAGATCATTGAATATTCATTCTTATACAAAATGATTGAATCTCCCAAGTCTACCCCCCCCCCCTCCCCCCGTAGAGATGAATTAGGAAGATTATACTGTTGCAGCATAGTGTAGATTAGTTTCTTTAACAAATAAATGCATATATATAGGGGACGTATACAAAATAGAGAATGTCAGAAGTTCTTAAGGGAAAAATTGTTCTATAGTTTACTTACACTAACTGTTATTCCTGTTTTATCTGCTGCATCCTGACATTCAGAAGAAAACAGGCAAGGACCTATTAAAGACAAGTCTTGTTTGAAATACGATTGACTACAAAAAACCGGAAAAACCCAATGACCCTCACAAAATGACCTCCAGAACCTCCTGTTATGCAGAATGACCTCAATGCTCTTTCTACGTCTCCCAGTCTCTGCCACAGCAACCCTCATTTTGATCTCCGCTCGCTGATTTATTTTTCATTTATCTTTTATGGCTTAACCAACCGAAAATCAAAATATATCTCTTCATAGCCTAATCCACAATAGTTTAAAGAATCTTTAAATCCACAAATTTCAAATATTAATTCATTTAAATGATCATGACTTGTTTTCTTGTTTACTTGTTTACACAAAGCATACGATAAAAGCACAAATTCAAGTATTTCACAAAAACTTTTTTTTTGTGAATTAGTGCTCATATAGTTTCATTTGTATATTATACACCTGTGAATAATAAAAAAATTATCTTTATATAATACTGCAATACTTTAATACTTAATCACAAGTTGAGGAATTTGAAAAATTTATAAAACAAGAATAGAAGCTAGTCCTAATAGACTTTTTAATATAATAAAGTATCATTAAAAACTTTTTTATCATGTTGATCGAGATTGTTTGAAAAAAAGTTTTTGTTGGATGTAAAAACCAAATATTTTTTATTGGAGACCAAAATGCAGGGCGTGAAGACAGAATGGTGGAGGCATGGAGACATAGCGTGAGGCGCGGCAAAGGTTTTGTGGGGCTTGGAGGTTATTCAGCGTATCAGGAGGCTAGGGAGGTCTAGGCGGCCCTGCATCCCCTCCCTTCAAAAAGTGGCTGTGTGTTAGGCACTGATCACGTAGATAGAGATGCAGGGTTGACATGCACCGGGCATCTGACGTGCCGCAATGTTCATGTAAAATAGCACAATGGGATCAAAGAACGAAAATATTAGTATTTCCATAATTAATGCAGTTGCTAAGTTATAGTTACGCTCCCTCCCTGGAACCCATGGACACACAGTGGAAATATACATGAACCAACAAATTCTACACCTCGATTGATTGATTAACTAGAAATATACAGCTACACTGCCTAGTAATTTTCTTTTAAGCTAGATAGGCAGGCGTTCGTTGTCAACGATCCATCTATGACTACCTGTTCTGTGGTGCATAGGACAAGAAGATTGCAAATTGAGGGTAGGACTGGGGCCAGTTTATAGTACATTTGTAGAATGTGAATATGAAAACAAATTTTGCAAAAACAGTTCACTTTTATGCAAGTTCTCAATTTTAAAGTTGACAATGATTTTAAAAAGTTTAAAGATGCCCATACCGAGTCCATCATTCATGGGAACATCGGCTGTATCTGACTCTTCATCTGTACATAATAAAAAATAAAACATGGTAAATTAAATTAATAATGAATATTTGGGATCAAAACAATATAGTTTCATAATTTACCTTCAGTTTCTACTAAAAACTTTTTAGTTTGCACAATTAATGCCTTGGAGATCATCACCACTAAAACTGGACCAGGATTCATTTTTCAAGTAAATCAAACAGTAATATCTAAATAAATGGTTTAATAAAACAATGTTTTTTTTACTATCTATAGCAAATTGTAAGATTAAAAATGAAAAAAAATATTTCCATTTTATTTGGGTGGAAGCAAACTTTGAAATGTGCTTAAAAACAACGTTTATTTAAGTCTTTAACTTTGGTGGGTCAGTTAAAGTCGTCGCTAAAGGTCGTCTTTTTTACAAAAGCTGCTGTAATAAAAGCCCATATTACCGTACATATTTCACAAACACTAAAATGTTTTTTGAATTGGTCCCTGAATAGTTTGATTCGTAAATATGAAACTTGTCTTTCTTTATATAAAACTGTGCAATGGTTCTTCATAAGTTTAGGATATTGTGAAATGGGATGGTGGAGATGTACTATTTAATGAGGGGGGGGGGGCAAGATTTTTTAGAAACAAAAAAATTCATAACTAGGAACAAAAAATTGTGCCGCAGGGGAAAATTTTTTTTGACTTTATAAAGACATAAAAAGAGTCAAAATTAATGACTAAAGACTAAAAAACTAGATTTTTAACTTTTCACACATTATAGTTTATTAAGACAGAGATTTTTCCTGTTTTGCACTAGAGTTTCTTTCCCTTAAGCATGCTATTGAGAAGCTATTCTGAAAATAGGAACAAAAAATTCCAAATTCAGGGGGGGGCGAATGTCCCCCCGCCCCCCCTGTATCCGCCCTTGATTAGGCGTGCACCCCAAAAAATTGGAAGATTTGAACCAAAAATGATGACCGAGACCACCCCCCCTCCCCTCATCAAATAGGATATCTCCACTATCTCCTTTAGAAAAAAAAAAGTTTTTTGGGGGATGCAAAAGCCAAATATTAAATCAGAATGAGGGACGAGGTGACAGAACGGCAGAGGCTTAGAGGTTAACCTGTTGATCAGGTGGCTTGATAACTAACTTGTATTTAGTTCAAAAGTAAATTTACAATATAATTAGTTCAAATCTGGTATTAACTGATTCATTTATCACTGATTAATTTCTACTGTAATTGAAACTGGTACTAATTCAATTTCTAAAATTATGATTAAAGATTTTACCGATCAAAAGGTAAGACATTAAATAATTAAGCACTGGAGGGTTGGGGGCTGAAATATGCATAATTTTGATGTTTGCTAATGCGATAATCATGCCGAAACTTTGGTGTAAGTTGTGTTTAAAGATTAATGAGATTATTAGGATTAATTGAGATTATGTCAAACATATACGGACAAAAACACGACCAACAAAAAAAAGGTATCAGTATTAAAAAGTGAGACAAGCGTGAAAAATATCAAAATCAGAATATAATTAGATCTGTGATTGCCCTCTATAGCCTGTTAAAATATTATATTAAATAATGCTAGGCTCTATGCTTAAATGCCCCTGGCCTTGCAAGTTACTTCCTTAAAAAATAATATTTTTTTCAGCAAGGTTATCCTAGGTCGTTAATAAATGTATGACACTATGCTGCTGTTTTCATTTCAACTAGGCTTTTTTTTTCTAAAAACTGTATTCATAAATATATTAAATGGATTCATGAAAATATAAATTTATATCTTTATAATTCCTTTTTAACCTGAACTGATTTATTTCATTAACTGTTCGTTTTATTCTTCTGTCTTTAAAAGAGTAAATTTTGGAATTCATAAGAATGAGATAATATACGAATGTATACAAAAAGAAAAAGATAATAAGGATGAGAAGGATGAGAAGGATGAGAAGGATGAGAAGGTTGAGAAGGATGAGAAGGATCAGAAGGATGAGTAGGATGAGAAGGTTGAGAGGGATGAGAAGGATGAGAAGGTTGAGAAGGATGAGAAGGATGAGAAGGATGAGAAGGATGAGTAGGATGAGAAGGTTGAGGAGGATGAGAAGGATGAGAAGGATGAGAAGGTTGAGAAGGATGAGAAGGATGAGAAGGATGAGAAGGATGAGAAGGTTGAGAAGGATGAGAAGGATACAAAAAGATGAGAAGGATGAGAAGGATGAGAAAGTTGAGAAGGATGAGAAGGATGAGAAGGATGAGAAGGATGAGTAGGATGAAAAAGGTTGAGAAGGATGAGAAGGATGAGAAGGATGAGAAGGAAGAGAAGGATACGAAAAGAGGAGAAGGATGAGAAGGATGAGAAGGTTGAAAAAGATGAGTAGGATGAGAAAGATGAGAAGAATGTACGGATAAGAAAGATGAGAAAGATGGGTTTGCAGAATGAGAAAAATATAATTATGTCCCGTACCATACACTAGGCTCAAAGAAAGTCCAATAGTAGAAGATAATGCATTAGGAACTTATCCGAATACTTCTAAACAATATTAGCACGGTTATTTAACCCTATTCCCGCTGGGGGGGGGGTCAATTTGACCCCCCCTGTAGTTTTTTTTACATAACTCAAAAAGTATTGGTCTGAGGCTGTTGAAATTTTCTGACTTTTCTTACATACCCAAAGCCCTCCCTTTAGGCCTAAAACCGGGCTTTAATACTAACTGCCTGAGTCCTCAGGCACACTGCCTGAATGACTGCTTTTGCCTGTAGCAAACTAAATCTTTGTTTTGACCCACTTTCACTTGTCAGATTTTGATAAAATTTAGCTTTTTGGAAAGCCTATGACATAAGGAAACGGATTGCACAAGTTTTGCGAAAAAAAAATTGCAAATTTTTTGCAAAAAACCTGTCAAAGGAAATTTGCACATTTTTAGTTTTTCTTGATTAAAAATCAGGTTATTTAAAATTTTGCAAAAATTTTTGCATATTTGAAATGGCATGGTCAAGGGCTTTTCAAAAATGTATAATTTGTCATTTTTTGGACAAATATTTTTTGCAAACATTTTTACTATAAAACTGGATTTTGCGATAAAAAATTCAATTTTCGCAAATTTGCAAATTTTTTTGCAGATTCTAAAAGTAGAGCACAAGAGCTTTCTAATGATGTATCATTTTTTATATTTGGACATAAAACATGGGATTTAGAGGGGGGGTCAAATTGACCCCCCCAGCGTATCCTGGTTTTCAAGTACCCCAGCGGGGATAGGGTTAAGTGGAATTAACTATTGATTGATCTTTTAATTAAAGCAAAACGTTTCACTGTTTATAATTTTCCTTTTGTCGGAGAGTATAAATAAATTGAACGGAGGCTTTGGTTTGGTTTCTCTGAGAGGGTTTCGGCAAAGACGACTTACGGGGGGGGGGGTTAGAAGTTGTATTTTTAGTTTACAATTGCATAGGACGTCATTGGCTGCATGCAGTATTGGTGTTGAAATTAATATTTTCACTCTATAATACTCGATTCAAATATGTTAAGGTTAAATTTTGTTAATCAATAGATTTGGCTAATAGGGTTAATTGAACTTGTGATCAATTATATTTTCCAAACCTTCTATTTAATTTCTTATAAACTTATTATAACTTACCTTCTTTTACTTCACATATACAATTTTTTCCGTGCACTCTTCCGTTTTCTTGCAATCAGATTTTTTGTTGCATTCGTGTATTTTCTACATATGCAAAGAAGACAAATTAAGAAGTTTAAAGAAATGTTAAATATTACACATTACACACCGATTTACAAATGCCGTCAATACAGTATTAGTGCACTCTTTGGGAGTTTACCTGAAACAAATCGTTTTCACAGGAGCAACTTGGATTTTAAAAATATTTAGATTTTTTACTTTTTAAAAAAAGTTAGGGAATTCTAGGTCACATTTTCCATGCAAGCACATATAAAATCCGTCTTAAAATGTATGGAGGAGGCAAATTTTTGGAATTCCTTTGCTGCATTTTGAACCCTATTTTTATTTCAAATCTCAATGTTTTAAATATTTTATTTCGAGAATTTTCGAATGTTCTAAAAATTCTTAACACTTGCTCAAACTCTATTTTTCAAATCCCAATATTTTTGCAAACTGTTTACATGTAAACCTGTGATATTTTAAACTTTATAACAATTAGATTACAGCAGAATACAAGGTTTGATATCTTAGACTCCACGGATTTAAAAATTAGTGCTTAAATTATGTATTCAGTCCTTTTTAGGGTTTTCAGCGAAAAGGGTAAAACGTTTTGCAAAAATTTCGCATTTCTGCGCGAAAAAAATTTGTTTTGCCGAAAATTTCGCTTAAAAATTTCGCGAAATTTCGCATCGTTCTTGCATTTTTTCGCGAAAGTTTTTGTTCGCTGGAACATGAAATGTACATAACTGTAAAAAAAATGATTTGTTCGCCACTTTTAAACGGCTGAACCGATCGGGCCCATTTTTTTGCAGCAACTCTTATGGACCTAGGGAATATTTATAAAAATGTTGTGTTAGTAAAATTTCAACACAAATTTTTTTTGAAGTAAAATAAAATGTGACGGCTTAAAAATCAACACATATATAGTTGATGAAAGTCATATTTCTTTACATTAATCTCATTGTGCCAATTGTATAAAAGTTACGCAATTATATGTTTGAGGACATTTTTGTACAGTATTTTATTTTAATGATCAATTTAAATACCAATAATTGGAACCATTAATCTGCTTTATCTATTTCCATCTCAATCAGCAGAAATAAATTTGAATACCAATCAAATGGGTTGAATGACCCTTAAAAGTGGCGCCACTGGGATAAGTTTATAGAGTAGGGATGGTCATTTATTTTGACAATTAGCCTAATTTTAAATATTACCGTAGTAGCGTATACAAAACTCATTGAAAAATAGTCAAAACGACATTTTTTAAATTCTTTTAATGTCTCCAAAATTATGGGGTAAACTGTACCGTATTGCGAAATTTTTTCATTTCAGGTTTCACTTTCTTCTTCAGGTTATTTCATGTAAAGATGATTTTTATGTGATATAATCAAATGTAATCAAGTGCCATTGATAGTTTTTTTGATTAGCATGTCTGATTCACAACTATACTCATGAAAGCTTTGCCTGATTGCAGTGTGCAGTCTCTTTAAACACGTTTTATGCACAAAATCTTGGTTAACTTGATCGATGTGGATTAAGCATGCATTAGATATTTTTTGAAAACTAATTATTTTTATATGAATTGTTTCACTGCAAAAGTGACTTGCTTAATTCTTGCTTCAGGAACATCTGTGAAATTATCAGAATTCAACAATTCTCAAGCACAGTATATTCTGAATTATTTGTCAGGTTAGGAATTTGTGGTATCCGTTGTGAATCGGACATGCCACTACTTAAAGGGAGTGACCGGCAATGTATGGTGGTTGAACTGAGTATGCAGTATTGTAGAAAATCTTTTTAGAATTCATTTGAGACATATGAAACGTGTCCATGATGTATAAATACTGAGTTAGAGTGCAAAGTCGACGTTCAAAATCATAAATTTGGGTGGGTATGTTTTCAGAATCGGTTTTTTTTTAAGTTATTAAATAACGACGACGAAAACAAAGTAAAAATTATACAGTAAACTAATTAGATGTTTAGGAACATATCTCTCAAAAGAAATTTGTCACTAAATCAATGTTAGAATCAATTATTTCGTTTTCATCCTTATATCGAATTTCTTCTTTTCTTCGAATGTGTTCGCAGATTTCTACAAATTCTTCAAATGTCGTCTTTTCAATAAAAATTACAGAAAATCTGCAGAAAATCTTTGTGACTAAAGAGAAATTATAGAAACTAATAATTGAATAAGATTACTTATTTTAGATAATAAGAGTTAATTTTTATTTTTACAACCTGTTCCTAAACAACAAATTAGTTTTGTTAATTTTGTTTCCATTTTTTGTCGTTGTAATTTAATAATTATAAAAAAAACCGATTCTGAAAACGTACCAACCCAAATCCATAATTTTGAGCGTCGACTTTATGCTCAAACTCAGTAAATATACGTCGTAGAAACGTTTTATATGTCTCAAATGAATGCTAAAAAATTTGTCCACAAAACTACATATTCAGTTCAACCACCATACATTGCCGGTCACTCCCTTTAAATGCAGGGACAATTGAGTCCCTTTAAACAGGATTCTTTACCTGTTTGAACAAATTGAATCTAGCACTGATATTTTTCTGGCAGTTCTCCCTTTATCTTTACAACTTGATGGTTTTACCTTTCAAAAACATTTTTTTAACAGAATTTATAGTTTGACATATCAAAGATATTCGATAAAGGGATAAGAAAATCAGAGTTTGTGGCAAGGACGCAATACCTTTCTCAGGACTAAAAGGACTGCGCTAGTCTAGACGCAATTGTTTTATAAAAAGTATTTATACAAGGTAACCCGCAAAAGATGAGATATGTCAAGACCTAAAACTCTTTAAAACTTTAAAGATTAATTTTTGAATTCTGACTTTGATTTAGTTATAATGGCAAATAAAAAAATTTGACTAGGAAGCCCCTGCGTATTTTAAATGTAAGACTTATTAAATTCCGAAGAGTACTCTAGCTCTAAAGTATCATCTCTATTAGTTTTTTTTTTGTAGTCAATCCCAAAAATATCTAAAATTATGTAAGGTCAGTCCCACTTCTATTTGGCCAGGATCCCCAAAAGTATGGACACAATTAGAACAAACAGGCCATCAGATGTAAATATAATATACATAGATATAAAGGTATGATGACATATCTCAATATTTCTAGGTTTATAATTTTGCTTAATTTATGATGTAAGTATTATCAACATTGTTATGACTCAATTGATAACAAAGATAAGGTTCAGTGCAAAGAGAAAATTCCAGACCTTTCTGTTTTATCAGTTAAACATTTTATCAGCCTCAGTCTATAAATCTATTCACTGGACCCATTTACAATTAGTTCATTATTAACTACAAGATGGCGGTTAGCATTTCGTACAAAGCATTTTTTGTCGGAGAGAATGATGAGTCTGAGGTTAGGAGGTTCACCATAGACAAGGAAGTAAGCAGCAACTTTAGCTATTTGAGGGAGAAGTTGATGATGGTATTTCCCGAACTGCAGACAAAGAAGTTTAGTATTCTCTGGACTGACACTGATGGGGACAATGTTACCATTGCAAATGATGAAGAGCTTGCAATTGCTCTGACAGAGGTCACTGGCTCAGTGCTTAAGATAACTATAGCTGCTAAAGATGTCAAAAGAGGTGCGCTTAAGAATGATGTGAAAATGCATCCCAATATCACCTGTGATGGCTGTGACGGTCCAATCATAGGTAACAGATACAAATGCCTTGTTTGTTCTGACTATGATCTTTGTGAAGTATGTGAGGGCAAGGGGACCCATAAGGAGCACAATATGGTGCGTCTTACCTCACCGCAAGGTGTCTGGCCACAGCACTTCTTTAAAAGGCTTCATCGTATGCAGGAAAGAGCCGGAGGTAGAGAGCATGTAAGAACAGAATGTGATGAGAAAGGAGAATCAAAGATCAATGAACATGGGACAACAATGAGGGGAAAACAAGGGACTAGAGGAGCATATAGAGGAAAACATAACTTGTTCCGAAACAACCCATTTGATGCTATGATGCAGAACTGGAAAACTACATCAGAGGACAAGACGAAAAAAGAAGATTCCCATGAAGAGTCTCCTGAAAAGTCCAAAAACCTTGTTTACAACACAGCAGAAGATGCTTCAAAAGCTCTTCATAAGGCAGCAGCATTTTCTGCTCACAAAGCAGCAGTTAATGCAGCAAGTGCAGCTACAGGAGTAGCAGCTGGAGCAACAGTCTCTGCTGAATATCTTCAAAATCTTGGAGACTACCTGGCAACCACCCTTGGCCCTTATGGTATTGATGTGGATGTCAGCCCCTCCAAAAAAGGAAGTTTAGAAGGGGCCCAGACTGAGCCTGATGTTGGGATAGAAAAACCATACTGCTTTTCCGTTCAGTCTGAAGTTAATGCAGTAAGCCATGGTGCAGAAGGATGTATCTATCCTAAACTGCCAGCAGTTGAAAGCAGTAAGCTTGAGAGCATTTTTGGGAGTGAATCTAAATTTGATTCTATAGTACCTATCTCCGGGTCCAATTCACCCATCTCCAATCCAACTGAACCTGTCTCAGAGCTCAGCCGAACTATCTCTGAATCCACTACACCTATATCGAAGCCAACAGCACCTGTTTCAGAGACCATAGCGCCTATGTCATCTGCACCTATAAAGGAGTCCACTGCACCTGTTGCAGAGTCCACTACACCTATTGCGGATCATCCTGATCCTAAGATCCGTACTGCTCTTCAGGTGATGCTTAACATGGGATTCCAGAATGAAGGTGGCTGGCTTACTCATATAGTTGAAGCTAAGCAGGGGGACATTGGACAAGTGTTAGATACTCTTCAACCTGTGAGAAACTAAATTTATTTTCAATGTCAAAAACAGGTTTTTATCATTTGTATTTAATCTTATTAATCATGTGTTTAACCCAATTATCTAGAAAGCTAAACAAGCTCTAACTAATCTGCGTTTAATGTTTATATACAGTTAATCATTAGGCTTCTTAACACTGCTTCAAGTTTATAATAAAGTTATGAAATATACTAAAATATTATACTATTTATTTCTTACTAAAAGTCTAAATTTACAAAATATTATAACTGGAAGACATGTTGTTTTATTTTGCAAACATTATGTAAGTATTATTGAGTATTTAATGCCCTGCAACTTCAGGCAATAATGCATATTTTTGCTGTGTAATTATGAGCAATTTGTATAAACATTTAACTTTTAGGTTAAAAATTAAAAATGATTTCAACTGGTAACTTACAATTTGTTATGGTAATTTATGACAAAACCATTTGATTTTGAGCTGTTTTTACAGTATAGTGTAGCACAGTTCATTACAGTGCAGTACACTGTAGTACATTAGGCAAGACCAGACTCCTTGCTTGGTACATAACACCACTTCTTGATTACTGGCTTAGCAACCTTTGTGGGGTTAGTCTGAGACCTAAACAAAAGTAAAAAAATTATTCAAAGAATGTCAAATTAAGTTTTAAAAACTGTCTATACGAAAACCTTTGTCATTTTTTTGTTGAATGATTTTAGGATTGGGATATTTTCTCATATCATTCCACATCTCATTCTTTTATTGGTTTGACAACAATTTTAAATATGTTCATAAATTTTAAAAAAATTGCAATTTCTGGTCAAAATTAGCTTCACAGTTAAAGATTTGGAATCGATTAAGAAGAATATGAAGATTTGTAAATAGTAAAGATTTCGTATCAGCAGTGATCATCAACGATTATAATTTTTGAATACCTATATCTTTTAAACCTTTGATATTTCAATCTTTGACCTTTGTTAGATCAAACGTATAACGTGTGTAATATCAAAGGTTCACATCCATCCGGGTGCAAAGATATCAGAAATCAGATTTTGTGGGCTCAGTTTTTATCTAAAAAATGTCAACTATGTCTACAAACCTTGTGCATATTTCCTTGGGAACATCAACACACTCCTCTCTTGGCTCTAGTTTGGGAACCAGCTTGGTCACATGCTTACATGTTCTAAACAGAAACATAAGTATTATTTAGACCCAACTTGATATTTAATGGGGACTATCTCCACTAAAACCCCACTATTTCTTCGGTCTGAGAACTCTGAAGTGCAATCACTTCAGAACACACACCGGCAGCTAAGTTGAGGGTGTGGGACTCTAGACCCTGTAGATATATGCTAAAAGGATAACTTTTCCAAATGACAAAGGGAATTTTTCCTAATGGAAACTTGCTAAAAAGTAAGGTTTCCAAATCGGCATTTCTCCAAATTATCAAAAGCTCGGCCCCTAACATATTTGCACAGTTAATAACATGGGCAAACCCTGCACCCCATCGCTCACAATAGAACCTCCCAAGAAGGGGCTGATTCAATTCAATGATTCAATATTGCCATATCGTTTGTATGTGTACTGTAAAGCTTGCTCTAGCTAGCTAAAAGTCGGCTCGGTACTTGACTTGAAATGAACCAGAGCATACAATTTACATTTTAAAAATCGTTTCTCTTTGAGTCTTAGTTGAGAAATTGAGGAAATGGTTTCAGAAACATGTTAGGCGTATAGGCATTTTGGTTTGGCTTTAGGTTCCAAACATTATGCTTTTAAGGTTTGATAAAAGCAAAATTTATATTTTTCTATTATGTCTTCGTTTTACATACAATGAAGATGACTACCGATTTTTATTTTTTGTTTCTACCAAGCTTTTAAACAGGAACGAGGGTTAGAAACCCCGGACGCCATGAGCCTCCGTTATGCAAACAAGAGCCTCCCAGATTTGCAAGGTAGACCAAGCCTCCGCCATGCAGTTAGAGCCTCTATCATACAGTAAACTAACCTCTGTTATACAGAATAGTTTCCTTAAAACTCTTGATTTTTAAATGTACCTAAGAATATTTTGTATTTTTTTCTAAATAGTGGCATAAAAAGTTTATCAAATATCAGATGTATTAATCAATTATTATAAATAGTGACTAATCAAGGCTTGTAAAGTGGTTTATATAAAACTGGAAACATTCAAACCCAAAAAGGAAAACATTCGGAGAAAAAATTCTTAAAGTAATTTTATTTGTTATTTTATAATCTTTGATGTTTAAGCTACAGGGTGTCCCACGAAGCATAACAGTTGGTAAATAGTTTTGAATGTCTTATTTCATGTGCTGTATTAGATATTAATTCCTTATGCAGTTTATTTAGTTTAAATAAACTTTACCCAAATATATTTTAATTAGAAATCATTTTTATCATAATATGGATGGCCATAAAATATTTATTATTATTCATTTTGGCAACAAACAACTTGACATATTATGGAAGAAGACATTTAAACAATTCACCAATTGTCATGTTTCGTGGGACACCCTGTATGTCTTTTATTGAAATTTGTTTTAAATTAAGATAATTAAAAATTTTACATTTACAAATAATCTGAATCTAATATAGTATCCCGAGAAGTATTGCTTAAATCAAAGATTAAAACAAGATAAACTAAATCCAATTCAGAATTTCCGAATAGCCTCCTTACTGCCTAAGAAATGTTTTATTATAAAACATAAATCTTATAATCCGATTTATGAGTCAATATAAGTTACAAATCATGAAAATTAATAAAAAAAGTTAATCTCAAGTAAAATTCGTGTTGTACTATGTTGAAAAAAAAATTCTAAAAATTAAATATTACATTTAGAAACGAAGAGTTAAAGGAAGCTGCGCTGTATCGTGGAGGCTCGTTTACTGAATATCGGAGGTTCTTACTGCATGGTGGAGGCTTGGTCTGCCCGGAAAGTCCGGGAGGCTCGTGTCTGCATGGCGGAGGCTAATGGCGTCCTGGAGTTCCCTCCCTCCAGCAACAAAGCGAGGCGTTCAATAACAGTTTCTCCTTGTTTACTTGTAAACTTGTAAACTGAAAGCTTGTTAAAAATCAATTCTTAAATAGAAAAGTCGTCTTCATTTAATAGATATAAACCCTGACAACTGTACCTTACGGGCTCAATATCACACTCCTCAGTTGGTTTCTCTTGAACAATAGTTTTTATCTTATCTTGGCACAGTGGGGCACCCTGGAATAAAAATCATTTTATTAATTAACTATTAAAGGGACTGTAAGCGTAATTTCAAGTGACCCTGTATGTAAAGATGTCAATGCCTGAATCCCAACTGTACCCTTGAAACCTTGATATCATTTTTCTAGGTTTAAAAGTTTCTTATTCTCCTAATTCTGTTTTCCTGCAGTAGTAATCTGCAAGATAAACTTGTTATAAAACTAATTAGTTTATATAAAACAATGATATCTATTTCCTTCTTGATCAGACAAAGCTTTTACGAGTATCCAAGTGAATCGGGCATTACCAACTTTACATGGAGGGTCACTTAAATTAATGTTTACAGTCCCTTTAAATCAGATAAAATATTTAGGGCTTGGGAAACTGGATCATTTTTCAGTTTTGTTTTTGTCGGAGGTTAAATATAATTTAACAAATCGTTAATTTAAATGAAAGCTGCTTGTTTTTGTTTATGATTGGGATAGAGATAATTCTAAGAACTCACTAATTAGTCCACATAAGAAAAAAATCCGTGGCCAAGAAAGTAAACCCTATACATGATGAGATGAGGGGGGGGTTTGAGTCAATTCCCCCCCCCTTAAAATGTTGTTGGTAGAAATTACAAATTAAATATGTTGGGAATGCGCAAAAAATTTGCAATTCTAATGTTTTAACAAATACCGGTTACATAAAATTTGCCAAAAAACATTGTTCAAGACAAAAGATATAATAATTTTTGAGAGAAAAACAGATATTAGCTTTAAACCCCTTCTTATTAAAGGGACTGTTTTTGTAATTTCAAGCAGCGTTTGTCCGATTAAAACCGGTTCTCGGCTAACATTTATCTGACAAAAACTACAGTTGAAAATAATCAACTTTTAAAGAGAAAATAATGGACGTTTTATGCGTTCTTGTTCAAACAAAAATGTAAAGGCTACCGTTGAAAATCGAACATGCAACTTGAAATTTGGTCTACAGTCCCTTTAAGATGGGGGAACACATTTTGTTTCAAGTTGACCTCCTTGAATCCACATCCTGCAGGGGCACAGAGCTCAGTTGGTTCCTTTGTACACCCAGTCACAGGGGTGTACTTTTTAACCTCTTCTTTCTTTACAGAGCACTCTTGTCTAAATACAGATTTTTAATTTTAAAAGTTGAAATAAAGATTTAAAACTGTATAATGTACAGGGTTATACCCAAAGGATGAGACTGGAAAGACGACATAAAACTCTCAAAATATGACGATTTCTGGGTTTAATTAAATCTTCTGTCTTTTGATAGATTTTTTAATTTTTTTACAAAGAGCGAAATATGTTTACAACCGAGGGATTGTCTTATTTCCCTTCTATTCTAATCTCTGTTCTGTGTTCTTCACCTTGGCCATTTTTCACATTTGGTCTGAGTGGTGTATCCTACAGTTTCATCTTCACATTTTTCATCCTCTACAGTTACACAGTCTACTACATCATCTGTCACCTGCAAACCAAAATTATCAGAAACCAAAATCAAGAACATCAAGAGAATCAGAAATATAGAAAAGAAACATTTTAGAATGAAAGAAGCTCTTGTTAATATGCTTAACAATTCAATTTTTTTTTATTTTATATTAAAGGCTTTGGAAATTTTTTTGGCTTTTTCATGGAATCTCATCGATAAAGCAATCAACGAATAGAAATAGATTAACAGATTTAAAAACAATGAATAAAATTTGATTTGAAAACAAAAAAAATAATGGTTATTTCTTTAATTATATAAAAGTTGAATAGTTCTCCTACCTATAAACTATCTATTTACATTATGCATAGTTTTTTTTTTATGCTTTGAAAATCCGCTTACACCTTTACAGTTGGATAAATTTATGTATGGGTAGTTTTTTTTTTTTGGGGGGGGGGGGCCTTTCATGGCCCCTGAAAAGGTTTTTAACCAATCATAATTCGAAATTGTCATTTTACACAAAAATTTCCGAAAATCGTCAAACTCCACAAAAAGACCAAATCATTACTTTTTAATAATGTACAAAAAAAATGCTGCAATAAAAAAGATGAAATCTATATAATAAAGCTCTTAGCTCATATATATATATATATATGTATATATTTTATATAAGTTACCCATCAGGCCAATTGCCTGAAATTTGTTGAGGTTTTTATGGGTACCCTGGGGCCTGGAGTAACACAGTTTTGAACAATTCAACATTTTTTTCTTCAAAGATCAATCTTTTTCTTTAAAGTTAGCTTCTTTTTTATTACACGGGCAGCGCTGGGAACATCAGCTAGTTTCTAATACAGGCTCGCTATGCAGTACAGAAGCAGTATAAAACTGGTATAGAAGCGGTATAGAAAAAAGTAAAGAAGCGGTATAGAAGCGGTATAGAAGCATTATAGAAAAAGGTAAAGAAGCGGTATAAAAGCAGTATAGAAGGGGTATAGAAACGGTATAGAAGCGGTATAGAAGCGGTACAGGAGCAGTATAGAAGTGATATAGAAGTGGTATAGAAGTGGTATAAAAGCAGTATTGAAGCATATAGAAGAGGTATAGAAGCGGTATAGAAACGGTATGTAAGCGGTATAGAAACGGTATATAAGCGACTTAGAAGCGGTATAGAAGCGGTATAGAACCCTGTAAAAACTATTTATGAACTTACCGCATGTTCCTGCTGTTTAGTCCAGCATTCAGATTCATAAACAGTTCTACATACAGATTCTCCTTGGATAGCACAGTCTTTTACAAGAGGAGTTCGGCAAATCTAAACAGCATAAAATACTGCAATCTTAGAATCTGAAAAAAGGTCGCAAAGGAATTAGGTCTTTGTCACTAACTCAAATTTTCTAATCCCAATTTCTTTACAACTTGATGGCCTTTGAAATTTCAAACCTAGATCCTTTAATCTAACAGAATTCACAGTTTGAAGAAGATAGAGGGATTAGAAATTGAGAGTTTGAAGCAAAGACTCAATTCCTTTCACGATTTTCCTCAAACAAACATTTTTAATTGACTAAAAAACAATTTTTGCTACTGTTTATAGTGTTTATTTCTTCCATTAAAATTTATTTCATGTCTGACACTTTTGGCAGTTTTTAGAATTAACTATTCTTTAGATTTTTTCTATGAAAAATGTACGCTATTGATATTGTGTGTTTATGGAAACCGGTCTCTACAACCTCATGTCCGATTCACAACAAAAACTTTTAATGATCAATTGAATATTAATGTTTTTTAAATAAGTATTTTCAATTTTGATTTCTCCTCTATAAGAACACAAATTTTAGAGTTAAACACTGTTTAAGAAAAACGATTATATCTTCCATATTATTGATCAGATAAAGGTTTAAAAAGTATAGTTGTTAATAACAGGGACTAGTTCCTTTCCTAAATTGAACCCACCTGAATGGTTTCATTGTAGGCAATGGGTTCATAAGCAATATAACATCTCTTAATATAGTTCTCCTCGCACTCCTCTTCTTGTTGGGCTTCGTAGGAGGTAGTATAGGAGGTGTGACAACGTCTAAAAGATCGTTCAAAGAAAATAAATTTAGAAAGGAATTAATTCAATTTTTCGGCTGGTAATGTTTATTGGCAGTATCAGTTGTGATCTTGCTTCTAAATCGGTCACGTGGTATGTAGAAAAGGGCCAACCGTTGAATCAAAACATTTACACCCATCAAAGGCCAAATTGTAAGAATTTGAACCGCGTTGATGAACCGTCAATAACCGGTTTCAATTGAGCGCCGGCTTAAATATTGAAACACTTAAAACCATGTTTGAACAGCGTCTATAAACGCGGTTCAAATTCTTTAAATTTGGCCAAAAATTTGGATCACACCATGATGCATGACGTAAGGAAGGATTCTATCCCTCAAACATTTTCTTTATTTCGAAAATTCACGAAAAAAAAAATAAAAGCCTGCGAAATTATTTAATCTTTATTATTTTATTATTTTGCAGATAAAGGTAATAATACTTCTAGAAAATTTAAAGAAAACGAAGAGCCCTGAATATTTTCTAAATTTACCTGTCGTACGAATGGTCACAACTGATAACCTCATCGTAAACTGTCTCAGTAACCATCTCAACCTAAAAATATTAATCATAAAAATAAGATCAATCCATGTTGATTTTACCATAATTATTTGTAAATAATATATTGATCTCAGAATTCATTTACGAATACGGAAAGTTTCGCATTATTTTTTATTAATAAAACCACTTGAGTCTTTACCGCAAATTCTGATTATCTAATCCTTTACTCTTTGCAACCCAAAGTTGTAAATTTTAGATATTTTAAACTACGATTTCTTTGATATCTAATTCATTCTTGATTAGGGTACCATTGTAAATCGGACATTGCCATCTTTGCCTGGAGGTCACTTGAAATACAAGTGATAAATTACAATAATTACCTTGTCAACACAACGTTTTCCATCGGCATCAGGTTTACTTGTTACAACACTTCCAAACACACTGTTTTCATTTGTCTCTTCCTAAAATATTATTTCTTTGTTTTTCTGTTGATTTCTATCACAATATAATCCTTCAAGAAGTAATAGAACACACTGTTAACCAGGTTTATATTATTATTCATAGTCATAATTCATCCCGCGGTTTACACGCGCTTGGTATTAAATCATGACTTTTTGCTGAAGTTCCCGACGTTGCCCGTGAAATTAAAAAAACTGTGTTTCTTCCGAGTTCACCAGTAAAATTTTGAGGCAAATTGGTCAATGGGTTCAAGAGTTTTGACCGGAGAAACAAACAGAGATTACTACTTTGATGATATATAGATACACTCTAGGGAATCCAGTTTTGACGGGAAACTATAATTTCTCTGTTAACGCATACCCGCTTAAATTATTAAACCAAACTAAGAAATTGTTCGTGGGTTTAAAGGGAGTAACCGGCAAGTTATAGTAGTTGAACTGAGAATGTAGTAATGTGGAGAAATGTTTTAGGATTTATTTGAGACATATAAAAGTTTTAATGATGTATAATTACTGAGTTTTAGCGCAAAGTCGACTTTCAAAATCATCCATTTGGGTGGTTACGTTTTAAGAATCGATTTTTTTAAAATTATTAAATAACGACGACAAAAAGTGTAACAACAATTCATTCTCAGTTCAACTACCATACATTGTCGTCACTCTTTTTAACGAGCTACCTGGCTAAATTTTGAGACAAAATGGTGAAGGGTTCAAGAGTTATGATTGGAAATACATTCAAACACCCAAACGAAAATTACTACTTTATATAAAGATGAGTTACCTGAGCAATAGGTTCCTGGTATCCTTGTTTACTTAGAGGAGCAATCAGTCCTATTCTAAGTTTAGGGACTGATGCTGTCCTCTGTAGAGGGTTCAAATTAAGAACTGCAGACTGAACTGAGGCTCGACCAGAGCTGGCGGCAGAAACTTCCTAATAATATAACTTTAATTAACTAGTTAGCTGTTATTACATTGTTATAGGAGAACTCATTTTGTTCATAGTTTTGAACGAAATGTTAGAGTTTCTTGTAACACAGGCTAGACTTGCTGCATTTATAGCAAGTATTTTTTTATAATTTTCCATTTCATTGAAGGAGGAACTTTTGTGTCTTTAATCTGTATTTGTTTACCCCTCAAGTAAACTTTGTCCAAGGTGAATATCAAATTCAGTTATTGAAAAATAAGCACTATCCAAAACTGTTGCTCTGGTTAAATAACTGTTTTGATTTAGTTTTAAATCTATTATTTAATTACCCTGTTAAATGGGAAGGTGTTTAGAAGAGATTTTTCCCGCCTGAAAAAAAAATAAAAATAAATGTATCAACAACGAATTTAAGGCTTCAGCATAGATCAAAATGATGGACAGATTACAGTGAAACCATTAATAACGAATACATCGGAAGAATTTATCAAATGTCGTCTTGACAATTTTTCAGTGAGTTTTATACTATATTACGTAAATTTCAGTATTTGCGAAAATAAATAAATAGCCATGAATATGCGGGAACAGTTTTAAAGAGTTCCATATATAATCATTTAATTAAAAAAACTAAATATCTGCAGCATTCCATTATCAGAAAGTGAAGAATACGACATTTGATGAATTCTTTCGATGTATTCGTTATTAAGGGTTTCACTGTATTTAATGTTGATTTGCATAATTAGCTATTCAAATTCAGCTTACGGCTGATAAAACATATATTTGTTTTCTAAATAATTCAACATGTTTTAGTACATTTTACAGAGTACCTTTCAAGTTCTTCATCAAAGTTGGTTGTAGTTTCAGGTTCTTCAGTAGTAGACATCTCAATTGTCTCTTCAGTTGTCGATGACTCCGCAGGCGTTGAACTCGACGCGGGCATTGAAATCTCAGATTCCTTCGAGCTGTTCGTGGGGTTAGTTGTACTTCTACCTTGTGCATTGCATAGGGCATACAGGAACACTGATAGATATATCTAAACATATATTCATTTTAATAACAGGAACACTGATAGATATATCTAAACATATATTCATTTTAATAATAGAAACACTGATAGCTATATCTAAACATATATTCATTTTAATAACAAGAACACTGATAGATATATGTAAACATATATTCATTTTAATAACAGGAACACTGATTGATATATCTAAACATATATTCATTTTAATAACAGGAACAATGATAGATATATGTAAACATATATTCATTTTAATAACAGGAACACTGATAGATATATCTAAATAATACTTGATCTCATTAATGGTGGGTTTAAATGTTAAATAATAAATAATAATTTCTTTTCTTTTTTTAAAAGTTCATAAGTTAAATCTCATCATATGTCAGTAAATAATCTATTGTTTCTAGGTTGAATCAATTGTAAGTTATATATTTAATTAAAGGGGGAGGGGAGCTATTAAATCAAGTTTAAAAATGTCATATAGAAATTAAAGACAATCAGTGAAAAACAAAACATATGAAAAGAAATTTAAGTCAATAATCATACCTTTCCCCCCATCATCCCCCATCCACCTCGCATAACCCCCCTTCCCTTCCCTAACCTCCCGAGTAAAAAGGGTTAAAATCCGGTTGTAGATAATTTTGTCTGAGCTGTTTATAGTTTAATATGGAGTTGTATTGCAAAAACTCGAGTGCTAAGACCCGCCCTACAGATAGCACAGGAGACAAATGTTTAGAAAATAGGAAGTGGGCGGAGAGGCGGGAGTTGGTGGAGAAGGGGAGAGAATTGGGCGTGGAGTAGGTAGAGGGTGCATGGATAAGGAGGAAGGAGAAGGGCGGGGAAGGGTAGAGATGGAGGGTTAGGGGTGAAAAATGGGCGTGATAGGGGAAGAAGGAGGTAAGGGGGGAAGGGTTGAAATGGAAAAGAGAAGACCACTGTGAATGTGATCAAATATGTAAAGAAGTTAAGGAAATTAGGAAAGGAATATGTCAGCGTAGTTTTTCTTGTTTTAAACCATAACTGGGATTTAGGAAAACTCGAGCTAAAGCTAAAAAATGCACATCATAATTAAGAAGAGAGTTTATGAAATTCGTGAATAGGCCAACTTTTAAAATTTAAAAATGCTAGGAATCTAAAAAATGTTTTTTAACAATAAGTATATGAATAATGAATGTCAATGCCAAAAGATTGAATATTTATTAGATCTCTCTGCATGTATAATTCAATGGGTTGGAATGAATGCTTAGGTTTCATTTATTCTAATTTAATTTCTTTTAATTGGCCACTTAATAGTATTTGCAATTTTGACTTATTAGCATTGGCGGCAGCAATTTAGTTTGACTTTTTCTTGTGTAGGTCTGACAGGACAGGTTACAACACCTCTAAAAAATCGTAAAAAAAAATTTTTCATGAAAAAATTTGCCTTTAAAATTAACAGTACTCCTATCAATTTTATATCATTGACAAAACCTAAATTCTTTGCTCACTGTAAAAAAAAATCCTCTCATTTTGATAATAATACCTAACTGTATCGAATACAATATTCGAATTTACGAAAATTCTAAATTATGAACAAATTTTCAGGGATTTCTTTTGTTATATCCATAACATTTTTTAAATATTTTTTTCATAAAATGTTTGATAAAAAAGTGTACACAATGTTTTCGGAAATGATTTTAGTGTTTTTAAACATATTTTTTTTTAGCTTATAACACCCCCTCCGGCCACCCATGAGTGTCCACAACAAAATTCAGCCCAATTGGTCCACCCGTTTGGCCGGCTATAAGCAACATCTATACATCATCACATATATAAATTTGGCTTGTCTGTTTGTTTGTATCCAAACGACGTCAAAACGGCTGAACCGATCGGGCCCACATTTTTTGGTGGGACATCACGTGACAACAGGGAAGGTTTATGAGTGATAAAAAATGTGTTTTAAAGGTTATTCATATTGTAAAAAAAATTTAAATTCTTGAAAATCCACGATTTTTTTAAAAAATCCGAAGCCTAGTATATATATATATTCGATATATATATATATATATATATATATATATACGAATGTATTGCTTTACTATATAGATTTGTGGAAATTAACTCTCTAATCTGTTGGCTCTCGTCCACATATTTGCTTATCTTTTAAGTAATGTCCAGATACGTATCATTCTTATTTTAATCTTATCTAAAAATTTCTTTATATACGTTTACATATTTTGTTATCTTGATTTAAAATATTCCAAGATTTGATAAATGGATTAGTGTCCGACACAAGTATATTGCAGCAGCAGTATAGGGTGGTTGACCCACAAACCACGCCGCGGAATTTATTTTTATACAGAGATTTCAGAGATTCTCTAGCTTTCTAGCTTCGAACTCCATAGATTTTCTTATTCTATAGCTTGCCGCAGATTTTCTGATTTTATAGATCTACGCGAATTTTCTAATTCTTTAGTTTTTCGTGGATTTTCTATTTTTTTAGCATTCCACGATTTTCCTCTCTGATTCTGGAAACGCGGCGGATTTTCTGATTATCAAAATCGATGCCATGGAATTTCTAATCTCAGTGTTTCTGTTGTGTTTTGAAGCTTTCTATTTCTATTTTACTTGTTATATATTGTAACGTGGTGTATTTTCTAATTCCATACCAAACCATACAAAACCGTGGATTTACTTCATCGAAACCACGCCGCGGACATTCTAGATTTTAACAACTTATGCATTTTCCAGTTCTATATTGCACAACGAGGATTTATTTAAAACTTCAACACAAGGCAATTTGTTTTTATTGTTCAAAAGTGTAAAACATAATGTAAACACATATTTAACGTAATTTGACAAATAATAAGTTTCTTTATTTTTTGGCGAAATTTCAAGATACGTTTTCTTTTCGATATTTGTTTGTTTAAAACCTAAAAGATTTCGCGTCTTGTTTATGATAAAATCTTTACATTTGGGTAGACACACTAGACACATATATCTCAGTTTAACATCCAACAAATATTTTCATTGTGTTTCTTTGTCAGATGGCATTGAAAATGTTGAGCATAACTGTCGGAAGGCGTAAACTTTTTGTTCATTTTTTACCCTGACTTTCTAGTCAACTTAATTCAATTCAGTTTATGAATGAAGTTAATAACTTTTTATAGCACTATCAAATAAGATTCTTAGAAACCAGAACTTTTTTTGCCCATCAAAGAAAGTTATCTTGGTGATTGCGGTGAGATTTTTTAAAGGGACCGTTCACTTATTTGGGTAATTTCAGGGTAAACTAAACAGCCTTTTCGCTGTTGATTGGTAATAATCTTACTTTTCAAAGACAACTGTGGCCGGAGAAAAAGCCGATTTTTCGTTCAGAATTCGAGCGCAAAGGGACGGTCCCTCTCTATTTACGGTCCCTGTTTAGTTTACCCTAAAATTGCCCAAATAAGTGAACGGTCCCTTTAACCCGCAGCATTTTTTAATTTAACATAAAACTTTAGAGGAAAACGTCGATTGAATATATATCTTTAAAGTTTTTATCTTTCGGGGTTTTGTGCTCGTTTTGCTTGAGCATTAGACGTTGTTTGTTTATTGTTGAAAACAACTACTGTCAGTACGTTTTTACCAAAACCTAAACATTGCAACGTGCCATAATTTAAAAAACATCATAGACTACAACACAAAAAGTGGGTAAAAAATCTGAATTCAAACTTTTCGGGAGGGGGGGGCGGGGGGGGGGGGTTGCTTGGCTTTTCTAGTTGCGACGTGCCCCTTTCCTGTTCACAAAGAATAATTTTCTTTAAAAAAAAAAATTGAATTTAATTATCCCAACTGCAGTACCTGCTTTCTACATTAATAAAAGAAGCAATAAAAATCATCATGCACTGTTTACCTACATAAATAGATAAATAATAAATAAATAAATAAGGAATTTCCACAATACACATAAAACCCCCTATTTTGGAAATCAACCAAATCAGTCTCAAAATTATCACCAACCTAAAAGAAAGAAAACATTTCAAAATTTCATTTGATTTTCTAAAACATTATAAAATTTGCCTTAAAAATCGTTTTCCTACCTTAAAAATGGTTAAATTACATTTGTCCAGTGTTTTGGTAGCAAATAACCGCAGGTCACTTATTTAAAACAGTTTTATTGAAAATTAAAAATTTTTAAAGAAAATTGTATGTTTTTTATTAATTTTTAATCAGAAAAAGCTTTAAGGGTACCATTGTGAATCGGACATGTCTCTCTGTAAATTAAAAGTTCCGTCAAATTATGTCTCCAGCCCCTTTAAGTGAGTATTTGTTTGTAGCCTAGTCAGGCAGGGTTCCTTGTAAGCCAAAAACTGGCTATTATTTAGTAAACAATGGCAATCATTTATTAAACCATCAAAATACTCAATTGAATGCAGAAGCAAGAAATCAAGCTCCAGATCGTCATACTTTTAGAGTTTTGGGTCGTCTTCACAGTCTCATTCTTTATGGGTAACCCTGTAGTAGAATATATGGCAACAGGAATCATCCAAAATGTTTGCCTTAAGTACTTTTGTATATGACGTCATTGGCCTCAGTATTGTTTTTGAACCCAAGCAATCAATATTTAAACTCCAGTTACTAAATATAATAAAAAAATATATGCGTTAAAAATGGTTGGAAGTTATTGGTTTCATTTATGTAATTGTTATGGGTATAAAAGCTGTTGCCTAGTCTTTACATAATGAAAGTCTTTGGTATAAACGGCTTGAGAAAATACTGTTTGATAATTCTCATGACGCTCTGAAACTCTTTTTCATTGTTTACAAACAATACTAGATTTGACTGTACTGTTTTTATTCTATAGAAATATGAAAGCCCTGAAAGATTTTTCATGACTCTGAGTAACTGTTTTTAATTCAGGCCAGTGCACGAATCATGCATTTGCATATTTTTTGCAGTTATAATAGATAGATAGATAGATAGGTAAAGATTAGTTAGATTGTTGGAAAAATATGAATTTAAATGCAAATATTACTCATAATGAACAG